CATTTTGTACAAACAAATTTGACACACTGAAATTTATATTGGGATACACTGAATTTTATAATCCAGGGTCTGAGTACCTTCTTTCTTTTAAAAATCTGAAAGTCTTACCACATTTGAGGGCTCCAGCTTCTTCCTTCTCGCGAGGTCCGTTATGTTGATGCCATTGTAGTTGACGCCCTCCATGCAGCCTTTGAAATTCTTCCTACTGCTGGAACTTGGCTTGCCAGAGAAAGGGATGCCTCCAAAGGTTATCTTTGAGAGAGAAAAATTAACATTCACACTGTATTTGACTTTAAAAATAATAACATTCATAATAAATGAGACAAAACTATTAATACATGCAAGATCGGTTATCTTTACATCAAGCAATATATGCAGACATTTTTCTCTCTCCCAAATCTGCTGTATATAAATTTATTTTGTTATTAAAGTGCATAATAGTGTCATTAATTCTGACAATTAGATTATAACTTGAACAAGAAAATAGCAACAATCCCTCGGATGTTTTCTACCCAAAAGGCATTTTATAAATTTCCCCAGAATGTTTCAAAACATTTTATACAGCAAACATATTTTATTAAGCAATATTAAAAATACATTTTATGTTCATCCTTCAAAGACATACTATCAATAAATGCTTCTAGTCATCATGGGATAACCAGCACTAATATATGTTGATAAAACTGCAGCCAAAAGCAAGGGATATTGTATTTACCCAACATAGATGTATTGTAGTCTAATGATCATTAAAGTAAAAAATCCATTAGATGTATGGTGAATACAGGAAAAGCTCATGAAGTCTCATTAATATATTATATATTCTAAATATGTCTTTACTGATTTCAGAGAGAGGAAGGGAGAGGGGAAAAAGAGATAGAAACATCAATAATGAGAGAGTCATTGATCGGCTGCCTCCTGCACGCCTCCTGCACACCTCCTACTGGGTGGGGATCCAGCAGGGAACCGGGGCAGGTGCCCTGACTGGAATCAAACCACGATCTTCTGGATCATAGGTGGATGCTCAACCGCTGAGCCATGCTAGCCGGGCTCACTACTATATTGATTAGGAACATCTTAGAACTCGGGTGATATAACTTGAGAAGTACAAGCTCACAGATATTACAGGTCTTCTAAATTCTAAGGAACAGGTCAATATTTCTTCCTGTGAATCTCTAGCTACTATCATCTATAAAAAAAGATTATGTATTTTTTCATATATCTTTGGTCAAATTACAGCATTGCAATATCATTATCATATAATACAAAATCATACTTATTTACACATTGCCAATTATGGTATTTACTGCTAATAATGAATTAGTAGCAAATGAATCTACTAATTATAGCTGTAATATCAAGATATATAATCTAGATGTTATACATGTTTTTATTACCATTCACTCTTGTCATTATCCATTTTCCTTACAAAATTTTGAAAATGAAAGCAATAGTTAAGACAGTTTCAAATGTCAAAACTTCATGTTTGATACATAAGGCAAAAATCTCTGTGTGCTAGGAGGACATTAGAAAATTATGTCCTATTATTTAGCCTCATGGCATTTTAAATGCTTAATTAGATTTAGGGGGGCACAAGTTAATGATGGTTTATGAGATAATATAGAAAAAACACCTCACTTAATAAAATAAAAGATGGTTAGCTGTATATCATTTACCATAAAGTTTATATATAGGACAAAAGAAGAAAACTGAGACTATATTTAAAAACTAAGAACACTACAAAGGAAAACAGAGAATAGTCAAAATAACAGAATTATTGAAAAAAATATTTTCAAGTGGCATTGAACTGAACTTGGGTAGACACAGGTGTACCTAATACCAAAGGTAAGAATTACGGATACTTAAATGGAGTGTTTAATTTCCTATCCATAACTTATTTCATCAAGTTCTTTCCCAGCTGATAGCAATAGCATCTTCTATGCTTAATGACATGCAGCATCCTTTTTTTCAGCTTAAGTAAAGACGGCACTATTATAAAGATGTGCAATAATACATGAATTAAAAGGCAGAGATGCAGCTCATTTCAGGATATACTATGATCCGGGATGGATTTTACCAAACACTCATAGAAGAACTAACACCTGTCCTTCTCAAACTATTCCAAAAAATTCAAGAGGAGGGAAGACTCCCAAGCTCAATTTACAAGGCCAGCATTATCCTAGTTCCAAAACCAGATAAAGACACAGACACAACAAAGAAAGACAATTATAGGACAATATCCCTGATGAGCGTAGCTGCTAAAATCCTCCACCTAATACCACATTTTGAACAAGGGAACTGAGTCCTGGTTTCAAGGTGTTTGACGCCTTCTCTGTGTGCAAAGCTTACCTAGGGCTTTTCATTTCCTCGGCTCTCAGCAACCCCTGGCGCACGTCCTACCTTAGGGAAGACGCTCTGGTAAAGCAACACAGGCTCAGTTTACCAGACTCCTTGCAACTAAGAGACACAGGTTCCAATCCCAGTTCCTACTGTAACTAACCATATGACAATGTAACTAATTACTTATTTCTGGTTATGTATTATCAGTGAAATAAAGTGGCTGGATAGCAAAATACTTTCTGATACTATATCTATTCTGATAGTAAAAAATTGTTGCAGTTGTTAGATTAATCTTCAGGTATTCCTATGACCCATATGATTGACTTATTGCTGATATTGCCATTCGGTCACAACCTGGACTCTCATAAATAGCTGCATTAGTCATCCTGTTAGCTACCAAGGGTTTAAAAAGTGCCACTAGCTACCTCTAAAAGCCCTTTCTCCAAACTGTCTGGAGGGGAAAAAATGCTTTTTAGCTTCACACTACTCCCTAGCCAATATATGGCTTTTATCAACCATATGATGCATGTTTTGGTCTCATGAGATTTAAGAGAGAGGGCTGTGTGTGACTCCAAGAACTACAATTAAAATGACCTTCCTTCACGCTCTCCCCTTCCCACTGGCTGGAAAGCAGCATGGAGTGTAAGTAGCCGCCCTGGAGTGATCTGCAGAGGGGATGGAGGAGCAGCAAGAGAACAGCAGGCGGGGTCTTGCTGAGCAGGATGCTGACATTTGAGGCCAGGGCTACCTGCCTAGGGGATCCTTTCATATGACATATAACAAACATAGGTTTGTTATGTGCAGTGTAACTGATACACATGGTCATTTCTATCACTTCCTGTTGCCTCATCACATAACCCTATAGTAAATGTGCTATTATATTCATTTTGTAGAAGGGGGACATGATTTGGTCACAGTCACACAACCAAGGAAGGGCAGAGAGGGATTCAAACCCAGGCTTTTCCCTCCAGTTTGAGGCCATGCAATGGATTCTCTCCAAAATTCTAGCCAGGTGCTTCAATGGATAAGGGGGAGCCGTCCTCTACTGCAAAGCTCAATTTACAAGGCCAGCAGATGCACTGCAGAGGCAAGGGGTAACATCCCAAGCGGGGGTATCCCGCAATCTGGCTCGAGGAGCGAGAGAAGCCAGGCCCCCGCCAGTCACTGGCCTGCCCTCTGGCTTCACTGGCGGAGGGGGGAGGACAGGCAGACCTGTGCGCCACCACACCCTCCACAGGCCACCTTGCACTGGCAGCTTGACTGCAAGTGGCCACTGGCTTTCTCTGTGGTGTGAAGGGGCTCCCGAGAGGGGACTGAGGTGAGCTCTGAAGGCCGTCTCCCAAAAAACTCCCACACTGAGTTTCATCTAAGGGGACAACTTGTTTCCTAGTGCGTCTTTCACGATGCGCATCTCTGGGAGCGTGATGGGTGTTATTTCATTCATCCCTGGCTGTGGTGAGCTGAACCCGGCTCATACTGGCCCATGAGTATGACTGCTAAACCTAGCCATTGTTAAAAATTAAGTGATATAAGTTTCAAATGAAATAAATTACATTAAACAAAAAATAATAACTACTCAGAACTCATGTTTCCATTTTCCTATCATGTGTGCTCCTGATTTACAGTTATGTCTAAAGGGGGGAAATACTATACAATGGTGTGATATAATAAATATATTTGGTCTTTGTCCCTGGTTCCTGGCACAGAATCCCTAAAATCTTTGGAATTTCCTGAGTGACAGGAGGGTTTGTCATTCATAAGAAGCCCCCTTTGAGGTTTGAGTCTAGTTACTGTATGGGAGAGCCAAGAAGTCCTGTGCAAAATCCCTGGGGCAGACTCTACTGTAGCCCCTCATCTTTAAACAAATAAGCAAGGAGAGTCCCTTTACATTAAGATAAACGTGTAGAGATAGACCATCTGCTTTTACTGTAGCCCGTGACAGTAACTGCAGTACCTAGGAGGACAGGAATTAGAGGGAGCTCCGCAAAGACAAGGAAGCTGAGTCTACACTGATTGTTTCTTAGTAAATTTAAACTTCCTCCCAGTGTCTCTCACAAATATGTCCCAGACATTTGAGTCTACAGATGAGGTTCTCAGACAGGGTACTGTATCTAGACGGGCTTCAAAGTGTCCACAACACTGCTGACCCTGTATGGAAGGCGTTGTGTGGGAGTGAATATTCACAGATTTCATCACAGACTCGACTGGGGCTGTGAACCCCAAATGTTTAATTCTGTTTTTCTGAAACTGGAGTTGTGTTTGTCTGTTGCTAAAGTTCCAGGATTTCTCATCTCTTCTCTGGTACTCCAGGCTGTTAATGCACAATGACTAATTCATCCTATGTTCTCTCAAAGTGGGGGATAAGCCACATGAGCCAATAATTACACTAATTTAGAGAAGATATAAATTTCTGGGATTTTCACATTATTTCCATTTTAACAATCATTTTTTCTTTAGAGAGACTTTTTTTGGAGAGGCAATTATTTCCTGAATACTCTGAATTTATTTTGGTATTAATAATGTCTTCACATCAGGGTTTACATATCATATTCTGTTCTAAGTTCCTATTTAGGGACATATGCAATAATATACTCATAGTGCAAAAGCTTTAGAAACTATTTAAACATATAAGAAAACAGAAAACAGAGTTGTAAATCCTGACTTTTCCACTTATTATTTTATGGTGAGTATATTTCACATTCTTAATAATTTATATATAGAGATAGATATTAATAACACACATCTATGTGAATGTGTATATCTGCAAATTTAAAACTGGGGGCCAAGGCACAGTGCAGTGACACAGCAAACTCCAGGGGTGCCACAGTGCACTTTACATTTTATAAAGCAGCAGCAATACTTCCTATCTTTTGGACACTGTGCTAAACACTAGCTGGAGGTAGTTCCCTGCTCTAAGGTCCTGCTACATTGCTTTTGACGATGTCCTGTCTCTGAGAAGCTGAGATTTTGGTCATTGAGCTGATTAAATCAGTGTCACATGAAAGAAAAGTGGAACAAAAAACAAAGGTGGCAGTGTCCACTCTGATCCCCAAACCGGAGACGATGTCCACTGCAGGTGCACACAGGCCATTAGTGAATAATTATCATGTAAGAATAAAACAAAATTAGAATTTGTTCTTTTATTTTATGTGTATTTTGTTTTTCAAATGGCTACTAAGTTCTTAGGGCATAAACATTTATTAAGCTGTTTGGTTCTAACCACCCCGGAAGGGTCCAGATGGCTGTGGGAAACTAACACGGCACAAAGGGTGCCATGAACTGAGAACGTCTGGAAACCTCCAACTGACTGATATTCCTTCCTGTTTACTTTCCTGCGAGGCTCTGCTTGCTCAGTTAGCTTTATCCCTTCTCTTAGTATACGCTGACAAAATATGCTCTTACAGAACCTGCATTCCTCTATATGACTGACATTTTAGAATGGACAAAGGTTCACTTGCTCTCCACACAATGTATTTAGAAAACTGATGTGCCAACCAGTGTATTATGAGAACATATAAATTTTACTGGACCAATATTATTGCTTTTTAAATCTTTGATCATTTGGAAGGTAAAAAAAAATCCTATTTATTTATGGACAATTTCTTTAAAATATTCTATATTTTAGTTTCTTTAGTAACAATTATATCTGAGAAAATAGAACTTGTCAAAAGAACTATTAACAGTCATGAATATGTAAATGGCTTAGTATAAGTCAGAACTCAGGATTTCTTCCCCAATATTTTGTAATAAATATTAGGCAACCCTTTGTACATAATATGGCATATTATCAGGTAAAACAGGTGATTTATAACTAATGAGCAAGGGACAGATTATAACTGAGATTTATTCAGGACTTGTTAAGTAATCCTGAGAACACGCTAGATACTCCTTCTCTTCAAACTGCTCCTCCGGTGCCGAGGTCTGTAAAACATCTCAAGTATTTACTAGTGAAACATCTCAAGTACTTACTATTAAGAATTTACAGAAGGATCAAATGAACTACGTTAATAATCAGGTTCTGCAGTTGCAAGTTTATTCTTCTTTGCAGAATGAGATGAAAATGCTGCAGGAAGGCACATAATTAGCACTAACACAACAGGAGTGCCTGGGGAGGCCGAGGCAGCCACCCGGCAACTGAGCAAAGCTCCGCGTCCTCAAGCTCACCTCATAGTCCAAGTCCAGGTAGTCGAACTCCCCGTTCGTGCGGAAGTGCTGCAGGCTCCTGTCCAGCGTGAGGTCAATGCTCCGGCCTTGGCGCTCGATGACCACGGAGTGCCAGTGGTGATCATCCAGCAGGCTCCCAGTTGTCACGGATGTGTGGCCATATATGGGGCCCAGCTGGTTGCTTCCTGCATCACGGGAGTGGAAGAGAAACGAGGTGATGACACCACAGCTCTGGGTAGCAGGAGACCTTGTATTAAAACACTAACAGCCCAAGTGCCCATCAGTAGATGAGTGGGTGAAAAAGCTGTGGGACATGTACACTGGAACACTATGCAGCTGTAAACAGAAGGACCCCTCACCCTTTGGGACAGCATGGAGGGACCTACAGAGTATTATGCTAAGAGAAATAAGCCAGGCAGAGAAAGACAAGTGCCACACGATCTCACTTACTGTGGAATCTCAGAAACAAAATAAATTGACAAACAAGATAGGACCACAGACATGGAAGCATGAAACAGACTGACAGATCTCAGTGGGAAGGGGAGGTGGGGGTGGGAAGGGATGAACCAAAGGTTTAGTGTATGCACATACGCAGAAACTGCGGACACAGACGACAGTTCAGGGAAGGCCCGGAAGGCGCAAAGGGGCGGGGCAGGGGGAGAATGGGGAACATCTGTAATACTGTCAAAAATAAAAATAAATGTGAAAAAACAACACTATGGGTTGAGGCTTTGTCTACTGAATTACTATAGGAAAACCAGCATGTGACTATACTTAAAGAGAGTTTTATGTTCATAGTACATAAAAGCTAGTAAAGATGGAAAACATCTGTTTCCTTAAAAATAATGAGCTTCTTTACAAAAATTTATTAGGTTTCTTTTGAAGTCAGTGTCCCATAAGCTCTGGAGCCAGAGGGCCTGGGTTCAGATGCTCTGGGCAAGTGGACAACACCTCTGGGCCTCTATTTCTTCATATGTAAAAAGAAGGAACTAATAGTACCTGCTTTACAAGGTTCTGTGGGGATTGAATTACTTAGCAGATGCAGAGACCTGAGCACACTTCCCAGCATAGAGCGAACATTCGTGAAATGGTACCTGCTAAAAAGCTGTTATTACTGAGGTGGGTGTTGTTATTTTTGGTCAAGAAAATACAGCATGACAACTGCCAATTTTCTCTGACTGCAAAGGCCATCATCTTAAGCACAATGTAATATCTAATGACATGGAACATTTACACAAGTTATGCTTTAAAATAAAAACCTGCAAAAATATATATGTAACATTAATCTAGTTTTGAAATAAAATCTCCACAGCAATAAGACCACAGGTAAGAGTGAAAGGCTGTGAGAATTCAAAATGCTTCCTAAGCTCTCTGGATGCTGTTTATATATTTTATACCATTTTCTATTTTATCTAACAAAAGATTGCTTTTTATGGTCAGGCAAAGCTAAATGCTATAAAAATGTAACGCTGTTTCAGAATAAATAAATAGCATCATAGAAATAAGAGAAACACAGGACTGACTGAAAAATTATTTCCTTTCCCCCCCACATTTAAGATGCTAATGATGCCTACACCGGACATTCTGTAATGGATTTTCTAGATCAAATTTGTTCCTTTTGGTGATGAAATAAAATATGATGATTGTACATGTATGTGGGGGAGGGAGGGAGAAGAAAAAAAGAGTAAGTCTGGGTGAAAGGCTACATTCAGTTTTATTTAAGTATTTAGATGAGAAGACTGAGAGAAGCAAGGCGTGCCTGGTATTTAGGCAGCGGCCTTGCAGAGCACAGTGCACCGCTGACTGTTTCCATGCTGCCATGGTCTCCAGTCGGTCAAAGAAAGTCCCCAAGTAAACTGCTGTCCAGGGAAATGCGACTGATTTTTTTGTGTGCCAGGTCATATGATCAGTTCTTTATTTCCGAACAGTAATGTAATGTCACACCTTTGTAAAAGCACAGTGGCTGTGTATGTTTCACTTTTTTTTTTCTTTTAAGGGAAAGGTTTGAAAAAATAAACTTTTAAAGATATATTCCACTGGCTGTGTGTGTGTGTGTGTGTGTGTGTGTGTGTGTGTGCGAGCACACGTGCGTGCATATTTTTATAAAAACTTACATTTTGTTTCCTGGGTTTCTCTCCTGCAACTCTATGGTACAACATTTGTATATTGTCTCCTTAACTCCTATTGAACCTTGTTTCAAAAATTATTTATGGCTAATTTTTTTCCCAGGTACCACATAAATGCATGTTCAATATTAAGAGTAGAGAATATTATGAAGAATTAATACACAAAACATTATTCCCTATTTCCACCACTGAAAAGAGTGTGGTCTATTTCCTTCCAGACTTTTTTTTCATATTACATACATATTACTCCAAGAGTAAATCACCAGTAACCTCTATGTTGCTAAGCAGCAACTTCCCTTTTCTGTCTTCTTTTGTGACATTTTAGGTGAAATCAACACAGTAACAATCTCTTCTTTCCCTTCTCTCTGTGACATCACATACTCTTATTTCCTCCTATCCACTGTCCACTTCTCAGTCTCCAGTCAGCACTTCTCCTGTCAATCTCAGGCATGAAACACCCTAAGAGAAATCTCAAGTTCCACGAGGAGTCAGCCACTAAAATGTTCCCTGTCCAATCAGAGCCCTGTAGCTCCTCTATTATAGGAAACTAATGATCCCCTATTAGAAGGAACTCTACAGAGAAAATAGAGCTTTCTCTAGGTCTGAAAATGGCGCTAATGACCACTGGAGCCTTAGCCATATCCTAGAGATTACCTTTTACTTATTTCCTTCTTTTCTTACTAAACAAACAATACATTACAAATCATGCTGAACTGCCATTAAAATCACCTCAGTAGTGGACCCCCTTTGCCTCTTCAGTATTATAGCAGCTCGTTTATACTATTGCTTTCTCTGCATCTCCGCTGACAGCCACCTTCTGCAAGCCAGTGCCAGTTCGTCCTGTCCCATGAGAAGTCCATCTTCAACTCACATATGGATGGATGCATTTTCTTTAAAGAAGTCTCAGGAAACTTCCCATTCTTAAAAAAATAATATCTAACCCCTCTACCAAGCTCTACAGGATCTCACAGGAACTGAACAATCCCTAACTTTTGGATGTCATCTTCTCTCCCACTGACTCCCTACCTCTGTCCACACCGGCTTCCTTGCTATTCCTCCAGCATGCCAGGCTCTGTCTGTAGTGGCTGCTTCCCTTGACATGCTCTTCTTGCTGGTATTTTCATGGCTAGTTTTTGCCACTGATCTCAGCTTGAATATCTTCTTGTAGAGGACTTTTCTCAGTACATAATCTAATGTTGACCCCTCTTGCCTCTGCTGCATTATATCAGCCCATTCAATGGATTTCATACTACAGCTGACCCTTGAACAACACACATTTCAACTGGAGGGGTTCACTTTTATGAAGGTTTTACTCAAATAATGCAGTCAACTCTTTGTATCCATGGACTCAACCAACCATGGATTGGAAACAAATTTTAGCACTCCCAACCTTGGATTCCAGAGCTTGGATTTTCAACCTTGGATGGAAAATACTGTTTTTGATCCCTAGTTGGTTAAATCTGTGGATGCAAAGAGCCAACTGTAGTGTCAAAAGCTATATGTGGATTTTTGACTGTGGAAGGGAGGGTTTGATATCCTAACCCAGCGTTGCTCAAAGGTCAACTGTATTTACCACTTGAAGTCATTTCTATTTTCTTTCTTTCTTCTTTAACCCTCACCCGAGGATATTTTTTCCATTGCTTTTCAGAGAGAATGGAAGGGGAGGGAGGGGGGCAGAGAGAGAGAGAGAGAAAGAGAGAGAAAGAAACATTGATGTGAGAGAGACACATCCATTGGTTGCCTCCCACACATGCCCCGACCAGGTCCAGCAATGGAACCTGCAACCGAGGTACATGCCCTTGGCCAGAATTGAACCCGGAAACCTTCAGTCTGTAGGGTGATACTCTAACCACTGAGCCAAAGTGGCCAGGGCTGAAGTCATTTCTTTTGATTTAGTTGTTTTAAAATAATCACAGATAATACACTACTTGACTCCTCCACTAGGTCATAAACTTTATGAATTTAAGGTCCTTCTTTTTTCACCACTGTGTCCAGATGCTAGTGTACACCTTGCACAACACAGGTGTTTAACAAATACTTTTGAATGAATAGCATGTTAATATATCAACACATACCAACCACTACTGCTTAATAATGAGTTGACAGCAATGCAAACTTTTTTTATAATTTACACTTTAAGGGTTAAAGAGCATCACCATTTCACTAATGGAAATATTAATACACAGAAGGAATGATGACAGGAGCGAGAACATACCTAGGTTTAAACTGAAGACCAGCCTGGCTTTCTTCAGTTCCAAAGTGATGTAGTCACCTTGCTGGCCCTCCCCATGCAAGATCACCCCTTCGCTCTCGGTGGTTTTAAATTTCAGAGCAATGACATCTTTCAGTGTTTTCATCTTCTTGTTTCTGAATCTATATGGCAACACAACATGGCCATCAAAGTTGATAACATCAGCCCCTGAAATAAGAAAAAAAATAACATTATAGGTCAGTTACTGTATAGTGTCATCCAGTATGAAGTATGTCCATTTCCAACCAGTGTCTGCAAGGAAAAAACAAAATGAAATAAAAGATAAGAAAGAAGTGTTTTTTTCCTGAGAAATCAGGAGTCCTGGGCTCCTGTCCTGTTTCTTCTTTTGATTTAGTCTGTTCTGTGTGAGCTGTGGTGGAGGTATCGTAAAGAATGATCATAGAAACCTCTGTCAATATAAAATCTCACTTCAATTGTGATTATGTTTACTAACATAAATGCCATCAACGATTTATATGCTTCAAACTTGAACTTGGGAGTCTAGAGTTTATTCGAAATAAATAAAATTTTTAATCACTACAGTATAATGAAATTTTAATGTCTTCCTTTTTAAATGAGGCTAATTATTATGATTTCTAAATACACGTTTTACTCACAAATTAGCTTTTCTTTGACAGTAAAACGGAGACACTTGATATTCAGGGTTTGATGGTGTGCTCACTTTCTGATGGTTCTTATGTCCTACTGCATTTTGAGTAAACTTTATGGTAGTGCTCAGAGTTCATAGCTAATTGAACTTTAAGAAGCTTACCATTTGCCCTTGGGCCGCAGGTCTGTCTGAAATTTCATGTTAGCTCCTTGCCTTTAGAAAGAACTACACCACTCATCCCTTGACTCACAGAGAATATCTAGTCTATACTGTGACAACAGAAATTTTAATTTGATTTTAGGGAATTTCATTGGAGACAAAATTATGTAAACTTTTTAGAATTATAAACAATTGTGTCACCATCCTCAAAAAAAAAAAAAAAAAAAGTGATGGTGGGGATTTGTTTTATAATTGCTGCTTAATTCACAGCAGACATGGAAATGAGATGATCTAATTTATTATGTCCCACTGGTTAGTCCCATTGGTTAGTCCTTTCCAATCCAAGGATCAAGCTTTGAGTACAAATAGAAGCTTAGTTCCCATAATTAGACCTTTGTCATGAAAAGTATTTTTAAAAATCCGTTTATTTGGCTTTTAATTTGAAATAATAGAGAACTCAGTCAAACTGGGTAATTCTAATTACTTTAGAATTACAAGACTGCCTCTGAGTTTGGGGCAAGGGTGATGGAGGGAGACTTGGCTTTGGATGATGGACATACAATGCAATTTACAGAATTGTACACACTTGAAAGCTATATGATTTTATTAACCAGTGTCACCCCAATAAATTAAAAAATATATAATAAAATTAAATTGAAAAATTAAAAAAAGAAAGTAAATCAAAGTTCTTACTTCAAATCATTGATAGATTTTGAATCCTTTACAAATATTTATCCCATTATCTTAAATGTTTACATTAAAAAAATAGTTTGGAGAATTCCTGCATTCTAAAATGTTTAGAGAGAAAAATTTCACTTTCAAGTTTAAGTTATAATTCTAATAGGCAGTTCTTTACTGTCCATAAAAAGACTTTCTTAATCAACAGAATTCTGTTCACCAAGACTGAATCACAGACTTTTATTTTACTATGGGGGGAAAAAGCACAGCCATTAAATTTTAGTTTCTGCTAACACTGCAAAGCAAATTAGACGTTAGCTTAATCAACTCTACTGTCCCAGCTGAATTCCAAGTGAAATATCTTTATCATCTGTGATGAGAGATAAAAGTAAGAAAAAGTGAAATCTGATGATCAGACACCAGGTTGAATTTATAATCCAGTAGTTGGTAGATATCACTTTTGGTCTCAAAAAGCACATAAATGAGAAGTCAGAAGGAATAAATTCTGAATGCTAGAAAGTAAACCTGCAGTCAACTTTGTATCAGTAACAGCTGAGTAAGGGACACATCGCTGTTTTATACACCCTTGGTATATATTAACTGACATAACATATTTCCCATCCATCAATCAGGAAGTAAATATTCCCTGAATCTAGAGAGAGGGAAGAATTTACCCCCTCCCCCCATACCTTCTCCTAAATAGAAATCTACATTCAGTTTCAGGTATAGAACAGTGAATTATGCAAATATTGATGTCTCTCTTCCCCCACACTTAGGGCAAAGAAAAATGTGGCAGAAAGGATGGGAACGGTTTATTTCTTCAGACAGTCCTAGACATTAACAAAAACATGTGGGGACGCTACTGAAGCAGACCAAGCCTCATCTAAGAAGCGGTCAGTGGTCAGAGGTTAGTTGAGAAACTGGACAACATGCTTTGCAACTCAGTTCTCGCCCATCGTGAAATCAAAGGCGGGATGAATGGGTTAATAACCCTAGCACAATATGAGAGTGTGGCTGTAATCTTAGAGTTTTCCTTGAAATTCCAAAATTCCTAGAAATAACTGATGATATGTTATACATAAACACATACCATACACTTTTTAAGAGAGTCTGGGGTATTGAAAGACCCAGAATTTAGTTTTATTTCCTACAAAAATACATTAAGATTTAATTTGACATCTAATAACATGTTGTGGTTATTTGGGGCCAAGCTGCCTTCTTTCCCCCATTACCCTGATTGCCCATCACTCCCTAGAATTAAGTTTTCCATGCAGTGTTGAAGTATATGCGGTGTAGCTGTTTAAGCAATCTGAGCTCCTCAGAAAGCGAGCGCAGAATCCTGGTGCTTCCATAGCTGTATTTCTAACAATAACTCAGAGTGCTGGTAACATGCCCATTTCATCAAATCATCAGGGTAGAAAGCCGTTTTTATTATTTCATTGTTACTTAGTCTACTTTCTGAATTTGGATAAGATGTTTTAGAAAAGTTTTTTACCATCTAAAGATTTAAATATTAAAAATACCTTTGCTCTATTTTTCCCCTCAAATACAACACATTTGTAGTAAAAAAAAATACTGTTGATAAGACATTAAACAATTCACCCGGCCTGGTGTGGCTAAGTGGTTGAGCGTCGACCTAGGATCCAGGAGATCGCTCTTCGATTCCCAGTCAGGGCACATGTTCACTTTGTGGGCTTGATCCCTAGTAGGGGGTGTGCAGGAGGCAGTGGATCAATGACTCTCTCATCATTGATGTTTCTCCCTCTCCCTCTCCCTTCCTTTCTCTGAAATCAATAAAGATATATTTTTTTAAAAATTAAACAATTTGATAATATAGAATGAGATTCCCAAACACAGGGGCTCACCAATGCATCCTTCTAGATTTCATGCATTTATTCTTTCTTTCTATCTATCATCTATCTATCTATCTATCTATCTATCTATCTATCTATCTATCTATCTATCTATCATCTATCATCTGTCCATCCATCCATCCATCCATCCATCCATCCATCCATCCAATTTATGGAATAATCATGCATTATATGTGCATATATGTATGTACATAAATATACATATGCACAGAGATAGGAGAGAAGGAGAGAGAGGAGAATGTCATTTCATTTGGTTATGTTTCAAAATGTACAATAGCTTGAGTTTGGGGTAATTAATCTGCACTCCCTCAAGGTGCAGTATTACTAAGTACCTACTTATATTACTTGGGAGTTCTTTTGTAAGGAAAAAGTGTTCTACTAACTAATTCGTTCCTTCGATGATCTGTTTACAGTATTATGGGTTTATTCACGTTCTTTGCAGTCAGAGTCTAACCCAACGTATGGTTACTCAGGCCGTTCCACCTTCAGCCCCTGGGCGCTCGGCAAGGCTGGTTCCTGTCTCCCTTTGCCAGGGCTCCTTTCTCTTCTCGCTCGTCTCTCACTCTCTGGTATTTTGAGATTCTCTAAGCTCATCTTGCATTTCCCCTGCCCCAGGCCTGGAATCAGCCACTTTTCCAAGGAGCACCCCCGAGAAGCCGGGAGCTTTCTTTTTTTCATTTGTTCACTTTGCTTTTTATAAAGCAAACAATACATTTCCTACAAATAAATAGAGTTGTCATGCCTCTCTATGATATAGTCTTCCATGCAAACAAATCGGTTACTGAAAGAAAAGAAACAAAAACTTAAACTGTTTCTTAGTAATCTGTTTCATAAGTATCTGCCACGATATGAAGCACTTTTCATTTTAATCAGATGTTTTTGCATAAACCATGACTTTAAAAACTAATAATTATTCATGTTTATTTAAGTGATGAGTGATTACTAATTAAATACATGAAAGTGTCACAAGGACTCATATATCCCAGGTTTTAATTGTCAGAGAAAAGGAATGATAATATCAAGCCACGTTTTTGGGCTGACAGGGAAATTTCATACCGTTATTAATCGACTTGGTATTATTTACTTGACAGGCATTGACTCTAGTGGGACACAGTCAGTTTCATCGCATCTGCACAAAGTTTGGATCTGATTTTTTTCCTTCCAACCCACTCTCTTTTCTTTCAGTATAGTATCTGTGGTTTAAACCTAAATAGTTGAAATAGGTTTCAAAATTATCAATAACAGCTAATTTAGAATAACAGCACCAAATAAGCCCCCCTAAATCCTTTAATTTTTATTTTTATTAAATCTATTGGGGTAACACTGGTTAATAAAATTATACAGGTTTCAGATATGCAATTCTATGATCCACCATCTGTACACTGCATTGTGTGTTCGCCACCCCAAGTCACACATCCTTCTGCCACCATTTATCCCCCCTTCCTCCCCTCCTTTCC